ATTTGCCCATGTCATGGGATTCGCGTTAGATGATAAATTGTATAAAGAAGTTTTGCAAACATCGTTAAGCATCTTTTTTTGCTTTTGAAGTGAAAGTTTCGGGGCTTTTTTGGCTGAAGTGTGCTAAATATAGAAGGAAAATAATTAATAACTTTGTTATTTTTAAAATAATAGTTTTGTAATTTTAAGTTTAAATAAATGTTCGTTCGTTTCATCAAATGCTAACAAAATAACAAGTTTTATAACTTTTTTTCTTGGATAATAATTTAAAGTCTAAGTATTTAAAATAGGAATTTTATTGTGAATAAAAGAATTAATGAATCGTTAATTATTGAATACAGTTTTTTTTTCAATTTCTAGATAATTTTTATTTAAATTTTTTTAGATGAAATTCAAAAATAAATATTCAGTGGTTTTTTCATTATTAATTTTATTTCAACGTTGTCGGTACATATCCATAAGGACATGAAAGGATTAAGATTGTTAGTCATTTTGTTGGCGAGAATGGTGATGTGTGTGTCTGTATGTGTGTATATGTGCGTGTGTGTGTGTGTGTGTGGTATGTGTGTTGGTTTGTGAGTGCGATGTCTTTAATGTGTTTGTTAGATGTGCGTATTTCTGTTGAATGTAATTGAAGTATATTATAACGTTTCCACATGTGTTGTGTGTGTTTGATATTAATTCTTATTCGATAAATTCTTGCAATATATACATACATAACTCTAGGCTTGTTTGAAGAAGTCAGTTGAGATCATAGGATTGAGTTGAGTGTGGTTTTTAAATGGTTTGTATGTATGTAAGCGATGTATATTGGTGTGAACAAATGTTGGACTACTAATTGCGATCTTAATAATTATGCCAATTATCTAATTAACTAATTAATGGTAAAATTAATGGTAAATTTTAATTGGTTGAATCACTAAACGTTCCACAATTGTAAATTTATTGTTGTTTTACCTTACAATATGCTATTTTTAACAGAGTTCATTCAAATGAGTTAACGTTTATGATCAGATGTGTATGTATTTGTGGTAACTTTTGCTTCGGTTGTTGGAGTTGCTTTTGTCAGAGTTGATTTGTTGTTGTTTCGCAGTATTAAACTGTGTGGAGGCAGTGTAGTTGCGTATTATTAGTTGGTGTGTGCCTGCTTATTAGCTTACGCACGTGCACATATAAATATGTTACTTATCTGAAAATGTGTGGAGGTAGTATGAAACTGTGTGCATGTGCAGTTATTAATAACTCATGTGTGAATGTAGTATGCAACATTAAAGTATGTGTTGGTTAAATATGCGCAGGTCAATTATTGATAAATTTGCACGAGCGAGGTCGCATCGCGTCGTTAGATTTATCTCTGAGCAACAGATGTTTTCACTCTTTTTACTGTACCTTCGATTTACAATTTACGCATGCACACACACACACACACCGCACACACACAGAGATATATATTTATATATATCACACACATATATATATATATATATATATATATATATATATTAATATATTCATTTACTGTTTAGACATATTGCACATATTACACATATGTACTTAAATGTATGACTATATACATTTGAATATGGATTGCGTAAATTGCAGACAGCACATGTGCAATGCAGTGAGTAACGTATATGGCGAGACATCGCTATCACCAATTTAATAAGCAGTCATTCATTATTGAGCAAACGTGGGGGGATGAACTCATCGCCCGGGGAAGAATATGTGCAACAAAATGTGTATATGAAATAACAGTAACACTAAGTTACATGTATTCTTAGGAAATACTAATAATATAATGGCATACAATAATATTGGGTATAAATTCTATAACAAAATATAAATTATTGATATGAACCATCTTTTTGTGAATGCATGCATCAACCACCCAATTAAATAACTAACCAATCAAATGACTGACAAATCAACCAATCGAATGAACGACAAACCAACCAGCCAACCAACCGACCATGAGCACGACACACACGACGCAATACGACCACACAGGACAGAAGGATGGAGTGCAGTGAACGTTTTGTTTCACTGCGTCCCATCAGCGTTCACGTCGCAGCTCTATGATGCATTGCGTCGTGCTATGATTTGCAATTAAAGCTGGGGAGAGATTGCTAATGAAGCGTATCTTTTTATATATATTGTAAATGTTTTTATTCGAAAATAACTTAATTGACTTTAACCATCTGTTATGCGAGTGATGCAAAGTAATGTTATCAGAGTAGTAATTAGGAGAAACACAATACAAATGTTGATTAGAACGAACACGAAGAACGTATAATATTGTGTCTTTTAATTACCTGTGCGCTCATGTAAATAGAACTACGTAAAAAGCAAATGAAAATAAACAGAAGTCAAGAGATTGTTTTCAAAAATAATTTTTACTGAAAAAATCGTATGCTCGATTCAACAGAAAATAAAAATACTGTTTTTAAGCTATACAAATAAAACGTTTGCGTGTTTGAGCGTCTGCTTGGTAGTACGGTAGTTGTTGTACGGTTGTTGTTGTACGGTTGTTGTTGTACGGTTGTTGTTGTACGGTTGTTGTTGTACGGTTGTGGTTGTACGGTTGTTGTTGTACGGTTGTTGTTGTACTGTTGTTGTTGTACGGTTGTTGTTGTACGGTTGTTGTTGTACGGTTGTTGTTGTACGGTTGTTGTTGTACGGTTGTTGTTGTACGGTTGTGGTTGTACGGTTGTACGGTTGTTGTTGTACGGTTGTGCGTTTGTTACGAAGCCTTGTTTTGCTTCTTATGAGCAAACAAAATAAATTCGTATAAATTTTTGATTAAGAAACAGAGAGCACAAGCACTGAATGATTGTTGTTGTTGTTGTTGGGATGTGACAATCGATGTAAAAGTTAATTCTAATGTCTTTTTTTATTATATTGTCCTTCTTTTTACCACAATAATATTATTTAGCAATAATTTTTTATGCACCGAAATTCTGCACAAATATTACAATAGAAAGAATAACTAAAAAGTTCTGATTTCATTTCAAGTTAAAATTATTTTGAAGCTTTTTGAACTGATTGAATCAACATTTCCACTACGGACGCACGTCAGATTGCACATTCCAGCATACACACTCGCACATGATACAGCATCCACACTCCTATCCCAGCATACAGATACACACACACACACACATACACACATATATACACGCTACAATATCCACACACTCAGCATATACACATAAACACAGCACACCAAATCTAAAGCACGTCGTGTTCAGTCCACATAGTCCAGGTTATCAAAGCGTTGAAATCAATGCAAATTGCTTGGCAGTTATAAATGTCCTGGAAAATAAAAAAAATTGTTTTTTCTTTCCGAAATATACAAAAATGTGAATAAATAGATAGAACCCATATATATTTATTTATATTCTTTTTAAATTATTCATTGAATGGTTGCCTGAGATTACTCAAATAAATGATTTCAATTTGCATGACTTGAAAACTTTACAAACAGAGGTTCTAACATATTCCAAACAAAAATTAAACACTGTTCAAATTCTCTATTAAATTAAACATTATTGTTAACAGACATGAAAATATATTTTAATTAACATTATCTACCGACTGCAATCTCAAAAAATATCCAATCTCTAAGCGAGCACTCAGCCAGCCAACCGAGCGAGCCAGAGATCTGGATCAGATTGTATTGTTCGTTCGCTCCATTTTGAGTTTGTGTTATCATGTTCGTCAAAACATTCATTAGACGTCTTTCAAAATGATTTTGTATTAAATTCTTTTTTTCAAATATTTTGAAAAATACTTTCGTTACTTGTGCTAAATTTTATGTCTGTCTGCCTGTGCGAACGAGATGAGATGAGGCACAATGCATTTAATTTATAACTCTCTGTCATAAGTGCCTGGCCATGCCTAGTTGTTTCACTGTTGATTTTGTTGTTGTATATATGTGTTGCTGGTTGTATAGTTGAATGTGTTCTCGGACATCAACACATTTGATGATCTTCACGTAAAATATTCTACTTAATATTATGCACAACACTTTATATATAGAAACATATTCAGATGCACACACACACACACACAATGAAAATTTATTTAAATGCATGTGCGTGCGTGCGAGCGCGAATGAATGGCCGGATGTATGAATGGCCGGGTTATAATGTTTGTTGCTGCTTTATTGCTTCCTGTGCCATCCTGCCTAATAAAATGTTTTATTCGTGGCAAATGATGATCGAGGAAATTAGCTGTAAGTAGTTTTTAAACAAAACAAAAATAAAAATTATTTTTATGTATAAATTTAACTTTTCCTAGTTTTTTTTATTTGAAAAGGTGTTTAATATTATTAACCGTACGTTGGCTAGATCACACACACGCGCAGGAACGCACACACACACACACACACACACACACACAAGTGCCTGTATGTAAAATAATTTAACACGTTTTTCATTTGAATCAGTGAAGTAACAAGGTGGGATGAGATGACAGCCCACCAACACCAACAACAGCAAACTCTCTTCAAGATGGAGACCAGGGTGCCCATAAAACGTGATGCCAACAGGTTCAGGCAGATTATATCATATACATTTATTTTTCTTTTTTTAATAAAATAAGTTTTAAAAATATGATTAAAAAGATTAAGATTGCGTGTTTTTATACAAAAAACTTGAAAATTTATTTTAGAAATAGTCAAGGAGAATTATTTAGAAATTTATTGATTCAAGTGAAAGGGCACAATTTCTACAAAACAACAACAAAATATAAAAACATCTGGCTGACGCTAAGAACATTAACATAGCAACACCCACCACAACCTCATCTGCCATTAAACATACGTTCTCGCCAACAATTACACAAATACGCCATCAAATTCAACACAGGCATAACGCAACAACACCAACATGCAACCAGCAACACAAAAAGCAACAACAACACAACAAACAACACAACAAACAACACAACAAACAACACAGCAAACAACACAACAAACACCAGTTACGCCGAACGCCAACGGAACATATGGAATGAGATGCAGGAACGCATGGAGCAGAGAAGGAAGGAGTGGGATGATGACGTCAGCAAGTTGAGGATGGACTTCTTCAGGTTGAAACCTGATGAGATGCAGACGGGTCAGTCAATTGTTTGTTTGTCTTTGTTATATTTCAACCACATCACATTTTAAGTGGTTATTTATGCCTTTAGTTTACATTATGAATTTATTTTATACGTTATCGTTGATAACGAAAAAATTTATTTTTCATAACTGTTTTTAGTTTATCAAGATGTTTAAAATTTGAAAAATTTGAAAACAGTTCATCAAATGTAAAAGCGCAAAGCGTATTACGAAACTTGAAACCGCACTTAGTTCCGTTTTACGCGTCGATGAATCTGTTTCAACCGCCGCTTGTTTTCTGCACATATTGATTTCGCAGTTTCTGGCTTTCTCAAACACAGGTGCGCAGGATAAATCGTACATAAAACATGCACGCACCGCTCCGCTCTATACGTACATGCACCCTACGTACACTCCACACACGCATGCATACAAACGCAACATTGCTCGCAAACATTGTAGCGACAGAGCGTTACGTTGTGTGCAAATCTACAATACAAACGTATCATCATGGTCATCCTGCCATGCTAACCACCCCACCACAACATAACAGGATCTCCGGGAAACAGCAGCAGTAGCAGCAGCTTGCTGGAGAAGATGGACCTGCAGGGAATGTTCTACGACGTGAAGGATGGCACCAAGGTCTTCAGGGTCAGCTTCGACGTCAGTCAGTTCAGCCCCGACGAGATCAACGTCAAGACGCAGGACAACAAGTTGATCGTGCAGGCCAAACATGAAGAAAAAGGTTCAGTGCCAAGTGAAATAATTATAATAATATACACAATAAAACTAATAACAAACAATCACAGTGTAGCTTAATTAAAATCTAATTGTCCACGAAACACAGGCGGCGACAAAACGATCAGCAGAGAGTTCAGTCGTCAGGTGGACATTCCATCGAATGTGGACCCGTTGAAACTGCAGAGCACTCTCAGCAAGGATGGCATCCTGCAAGTCGAAGCTCCTGTACGGGTCTATCAATTACTTTATTCTGGATCTTTCACAAAATTTTAACCGACTTCACTTTCTTACACTTTTTTGTATAAAGTGTAAATTGGCAATTTAATTGTCACTCAAAATGCTTTGGGTTTAAATGTTGAAATACGATAAACTGATCTGATCTGAATAAAATGTTTCATTTTGGTCGCAGTGTAATATTTGATGGTTTAAAGTTAAAATTAATTATAGCATATTTGCTTCTTTGCTTTCTTGTTTGTTTGTAAGTTATGGCTTATTAATAGAGAACTCGGCACATGCATCTCAGACGATGATGCATGCGACTAACCAACCACTGAGCAGGTCTGCATACCGACGTACGACACCATAACCTCAACCGTCAACAGTGGCAACAACCTGGAACGAACCACCACCCAACATCCAGTTACATTCACTGACATCAAACTAAGCAACATCATGCCAGGCTGGTCCTTCTCATTCAAAATTTTATTAAACGCAGTTTCAATTGTTATAATTGAAAAGTTAATTTGAATAAAATTAAATGAAAATATTAACAAATGAATATGCGTGTTATTCCATGGTTTGATGTTGAACAACACTTGCAGGGCTTGGATCAGCATTGGACAAGGACTCGTGCATCAGTGAGCAGGAGGGCAAGAAGGTTCCTCTCTTCAACTATCCTCATTTTCTCCAAATCTCACACATCTTATTGGACCAATGCTTATGTCAACACTTACGTACACATGTTACATCCTATCAGCATGCAATAATTTATAACCGTACAAACACACAAGATTATATACGCACATACGGACAGATATTTTTAGAGGCACACAAAAGTACACGCATTAACACACATAACCGCATCTTTTCATAAACATAAACACACTCACGTCACTTCCACATATGAACAAACACCACACACTTCTACACACACTCACTCACACACACTTTTACAAAGAAAGCACACACACTATTACACAAACAAACACACAAACTTTTACGCAGACACACACACACACACACACTTTTACACAGACAAACACACACACTTTTACACAGACACACACACACACTTTTACACAGAAAACACACACACTTTTACACAGACAAACACACAAACTTTTACGCAGACAAACACACACACTTTTACACAGACACACACATGCACACACACACTTTTACAGAGACACACACACACACTTTTACACAGACAAACACACACACACTATTACACAGACAAACACACACACACACACGCACGCACACACACATTTACACGCGTACATATATTTAGATCTTTCGCATCGCTATCGACATTGGGACTGACTTCGTCCCTGACGACCTGATGGTGAAGACAGTTGACAGAAAGCTTTCCGTGCACGCCAAACATCAAGAGGTCACTGCTACCAAGACCAGCTGCAAGGAATTTAGCAGGTTTCCATCGTTACCACCAACACATACGTCGCTATTCTCATTATCATTGTCATGTCATCACCACCGTAATCATCTTTATCACTATCATCATCGTACGATCGTGATGATGGTTCTAATCATTTTTATTATCATCGGCATCGTGGCTTTGAAAGAATTAATTAGAAAGAAAAAATCATTTACAAATTTTTTGTTATCATTTACAAATTTTGTAGCCATTAACGAATTTTTGTAATTATTTACAAATCTTTGTAATCATTTACAAATTTTTGTAATCATTTACAAATTTTGTAATCATTGACGAACCCAAGTAAACATTTACAAGAATTTTACCGATACGATAGTATCGAACTCATTATACGGTTACCACCGAACAAGTCACGGATGACGACCATAAATAATAAAATAATAATCAAACCTCCATGCAATCCACCCACACACAATCAGGGAGTTTGACCTTCCAGACACAGTTGACCCAAACACAGTGACTGCCAGTTTGACGGCAGAGGGAAGGCTGCTACTGGAAGCTCCTGTCGTCACGTCCGGATCGACAAATCAACCACCCAACGTCGATATCCACTTCCGCTCTAAATAAAGAACAACAGCATGGATAATAATAATAATAATAATAATTATTATTATTATTATGAAAACTCTTTCACCACTAAAAAAATAGTTGAAATGAGGAAAAAATTGCTAATACCAAATATAATAATAATAATTACTATAATATAAAATATATAGATTAACCATTAAAGTTATTAATTATAGGTAGTAGTAGTATTGTTTTACCGGTACCGCAGTATTTAGAAGCATTAGTAGAAGTAATTGGTTCACCCGGTTTGTTATTAAAAATACAGAAAGTCGTTGGTGGTTGTTGGGCGTTGTCCTTTCAGGTTCACAAACCCTCAGTAATTTGAATTTCTACTCGGCATAAATGAAACTTTTGCTACTGACTGCACATATATACGGGTTTTTTTTACAAAGTTTTGTACGTGTAATGTGATTAAACATTCTGCGTAATGAATGAAATGATTTTTAAAATATTTGAATACTTTTTCATTCGTATTTATATCTGTTTTGCAGGGAAGAATCAATCAGAAAATAAACAACGGTTCGTAAATGCAAAGCAAAATTTCACCCACCTACTCACTCACACACACACACACACGCAGACAATCACACACACACACACACACAAACGCAGACAATCACACACACATACACACACAGACGATCACACACACAGTCAATAACACATACACACAAACACACAATAAAGAAGATCATCCTGGTTATACGTGTTGATTGACCTTTTTCATAAATATTTCTTTCTAGCTGCGCCGTTAGATTTCTCAGTGAGATGTACAAATGCTGTGATGTGCTTGCTACTAATGAAAAAATAATTTAAAAAAAAAATGAATAAATAAATATGCACAAACCACACACACACACACACACACACACACACACACACACACACACACACAAACAAACAAACAAACAAGCACACACGTGTAAATTTAATTTTTATTCATGTGCGGATTGTTTTTATTAAATATCTTTCTTTATTTTTTATCTTCGTTTTATTCGCGTATTACCTTGTTTAATTGCATTCAATTATATTTCAAATTTCAATTATAATTATATATATATATATATATATATATATAATATTAAACATATTTTTGTGTGAGTGTGTATGTGTGTGTGTGTTGTGTGTTTGTAAATATGTCTGAGATCTTATTGACTAAACTGCAGGCATTAAAGTATGATGAATAAAAGAAAATTCTAAACAATTTTGCACTGTGCACTAAAGTTAACAAAAACAAAATGTTATAAAAATATGTATCTAAGAGAAGAAAATATGAAAACTGAAAAAATGAACGAAAAGGTGTTACAAGAGTTAAGTATTATGCGCCTACTTGACATACACATACATACAAACAAACACACACACGCACGCACACACACACACAAAACACACACACAACCCATGTTTACATGTTTTAAACTGACGTTCAAATCTCAAAAATAATCTAATCTTATTTCTTGATCAATTTTTCTTCTAATGCAAAATTTTGCCAGATTTGAAATTTATGTATTATCTGTCAAACCCTCAGGTGATGACATTAATGTACATGAAATGACATTAATGATCTCACGCATCACATTTGCAAGTTGAGTCATTTAAAATTTCTATCAAATTTTATTTTGCAATAAGTCAAACACGCATCTTTGTATATGTAATTTGTTTATTTTTACAAAGGGTACGAGTTTTGTTCATTGGAAGTTTTTCATATTTGATTCAATTTCAAATAAATGAACATTTCTTTCTCATCATTATTGACGTCATTATCAAATCAACATCATTATCATCATAAATTAACATTACCTTTTCATAATTCTTAGCCGTATAGCGTTCATAATAAATGCACATATTGATAAAAGTACATTGAAATGGACAAAGAAGTAAGTTAGCTACAGAAAACATTATACGTATTTCTATAACGTGCATGTGTGTGTGTGTTTTTGTGTTGTGTGTGTTTGAGTTATGTGTTTGTGTTGTGCATGTTGTGTGTGGTTTGTGTGTGTGTGGTGTGTGAGTGAAATGTTATGAGCAAGTTTCTGCGATGAAAACATGACTAGCTTTCAAAACTTTCAGACAAGACACATAAAATCAAATTGTCATTTTTGAAAACTAAATTGTTGTCACTGCTTGTCCATGTGAAATGTTTTCAAATATTATTCACTTTTTAAACAATTGAACGCCATTCATCTGTTTTTTCATCTCTAAGAGAAACATTATCGAGAATATTTTTGAATTTTATTTTTCGGGATTTTAAAATTTTTTCATATTTTTGCTTTCATGCTGCAAAAAATAAAAAAATTATAACATTCTGTACATTACTTTTTTACTGGCGACAGTTTATCAATGCTGCCTATAGCGTAAAACGTAAAAGATGTTTATCGTGTGCACATGAGTCCACACATACATACATATATACACATACAGACACACACAAACACACAACATGACATTAATCCGAATCTTCGGATAATATTATGACGTCATCATCATTGAATTTGTTGGAAGACTTTTTGTTAGCAGGTGAAGATGCCAATGAAGTATTATTGAAAGTTGGCAAAATGTTGCTTTGTTGAGTGGAGCGTTGTAGCTGTTGTGGCTGTTGTTGTTGTTGTTGTTGCTGCTGCTTGTTAAATGAACTACTTTTCTGATGTTGCTGCTGAAGTTGTAGTTGTTGCTGTAGATGCAGCCTGTTAAATTGTTGCGATGTTTGCTGAAGTTGATGTTGCACTCTGCTTTTTTGCAGACTTGTTGTAAATCGTGGTTGTTGTTGCTGTTGTTGTTGCTGTTGTTGATGTTGTTGTTGATATGTTTGACCTTTTTGTTGTTTTGAAGATGTGTTGAAATAACTTTCCTTTTGTGAACCTCGAAGCATGGAAGCATTATGAACTTGTTGTTGATGTTGATAATGTTGTTGTGGCTGCTGAGGTGGATGCAGATGTTGTTGTTGTTGATGTTGTAGATGTTGTTGTTGATGTTGTGTAAGACCTTGAGATGAAGCACCTGGTTTGTAAGATGTCTGAGCAGAAGATAGTGAGGAGGAGGAGGAAAACATTGTTGACGCTCTTGGCGGACTGTCGTGTGCTGTTGCTGAGGCTGATGTTGTTGCTGCTACTGATGATGATGACAACGGTGTTGTTGTCCTAAACGATGCTGTTGTCATAAGGGAGGTTGCTGTCATAGACGACGTTGCGAAAAATGTAGTTGTGTTTGATGTTGTTATAAATTCGCGTGTTGAAATATCAGATACGGTGTTGTTGTCTCTAACGTACTTTATGTCATTCATCTTCAAGGGTTCACCATGCATCACAGTTTGCTGTTGTTGCCGCTGATATTGTTGTTGCTGAGGCTGTTGCGGCTGAGGTTGTTGTTGAAGTAGTTGCTGCTGACGCTGCTGACGCTGTTGTAGTAATTGTTGTTGAGATTGTTGCTGGAATTGTTGTTGGTATTGTTGCTGAAATTGTTGCTGGGATTGTTGTTGGGATTGTTGCTGAGATTGTGGCTGGAATTGTTGTTGGGATTGTTGCTGAAATTGTTGTTGAGATTGTTGTTGAGATTGTTGATTTGTAAACTGCTGCGAAAGTTTGCTGAATTGTTGATTGGCAGTTTGTTGGCTGTCAGGTTGTTGTGAATAACTTTGTTGTTGTGAGTAACTTTGTTGTGGCTGCTGTGGTGCTACTTGCTGTCTATAGCCCGGAGTCGTCAGCTATAATGAATAAAAAATAACAATTAAATGGAGCCATCGAGAAACATTATGTATCCAGAAAGCGTCAAAAATGTTTGCGCTACATTTGAAAGCCGTAATAGGAGCGATCAGCTAGCCAAAGCACAAAAATTACGAGCATTAAGTCAAATAAAAAATAATGGTAGATGATACCTTTGAATTCGAGCCACTGGTAGTTACAGGTTGCTGCTGTGTTTGCTGAGATTGTTGAGGTTGGTGATAACGCGGTTGCTGATAATTTTGAGCCAGTGGCTGTCGTTGTTGTGGTTGATGCAACTGACTGCCGAAACGCTGCCTCATCACACTTTGGTTGCTGGGAGATGATGCAGAGAATGATGATGACATGAACGACGATGGAGTTTGATACATCTGTTGTTGTCTCTGCGGATGTTGTTGAGTCAAACCTTGCTGCTATGAGGTGGATTTTAGAAAAGTTTATCTGATCGAGTAATGTCAGCAAATGCTGAAACCACATTTAAATTTTTAAATTTTCTACATTCTCAAGCTTTACGAACTGGTCAACTTCTCAAAACACAAATTAGTGCAGTTAAATAAAAAAAATTTACGACTCAAAAACATAAGGCAAATTTAGCCAAGAGACGAGGCTAAGCTACATTATGTTAATGTTGAAAAAGATGTACCTGAAATACTCTGGCATGGTGTTGGTTCATACAGAACCTTTTTATTTCATCGATCGTGGGTGTGTACCTTATCTGTTGGGTGGTTTCAATTTATCCGTTGAAATGTATGCGTATGCATGTGCTGTACATGGGTGTACGTTTGTATGTATGCTAAAACCAAATCCTAATGAATGACACTAAACAGTCAAACATCAGATAACAAATGGTTGTATGTATGTATGTGTCTATATGTACCTATGTGTCAATAATTATATTATTATTATTATTTAATAAATGAAGTTGACATTCATTCATACATGTCACTCATTTGTTCATTTATTTATTTAACATTTACATTCCTCATTAAATTCATTTCTATTCATCGAATCACTCGTCTGCTTCCACACATTCAAAAAATCATAACAGTTGAGAAAATATTTCTTTTTAATTTAATCATTAAAAATCGTCATGATCGAGAAACCTCTTCAAATAACAAACACCCAACAACTTCCAACCATTAGAGCCACCATCACCTCCACCATCAACTGACACAAACACGACCACACCTTGTGAACCAGCTTGTAGGTGTCCACCATGACGTCATCAAGTGGTTTGGTGGGCAGTCTGACGCATTGCTGTCTGATGTTGTAGATGCACAATAGGAAGTCCACCATGGCAGAAAACGTAGGCGGGTTTTGGTTTCTCCCTGAATCATTTACCAAATCGTTGACGTTGTTGTCATTCGCGGTGGTGTTTTCGTCTTTGAGACTGTTGAGTTGCTTGTTCAAAACCTGACAGCACATCAAGAAGGCTTTCTTCGACAATTTTTCTCTTTCATAATCTCTCAGATACTTTCTGGTTTACAAAAATAATAGAGCAGTTAATAAAGAACAATGAAATTGAATGAGTGAGAATGAAAGAGAGAGAGAGAGAGAGAGAGAGAGAGAGAGAGAGAAGAGCACATACTTGGCAGCATTTTCAGGGCACCTGCTGAGTTGCAGATGCAGATTGAAGAGCATCTTTGCATCATTTGTGTACTGGAGCACGTCCAGCAGTAACTTGATGCAGCGATGGAGATGTGAGGAGAAAGAACCACACCTGTCTAGGTCAGAAGATGGAAGTCGCCACAATCCCTGTCACACACATTGCGTTGTTGTGTTAATTCAATTACTTTCTCTTACAAGCCATTCATTAAAAAATTTGAGATAATTTTCAGCGACAACTTTACAGAATAACAAAATATTTGCAATAAAACAACTAACCAAATTGAAGAAATAAAAAAAAGTATTGTTAACGAATGAAAAGTTACATTGAATAGATTATGTTGTTTCCTGTCATGAAAGAGTCCAACGCATTTGAAGTTGTTGTATGGGAGGATGAAATTGTTGCCCAACAACAACTCTTTGCAGTGCTCTATATTCTGTAAACGTTCGAATCAGTGTACATTTATCAGCAAACGACTAGTTGGATGAAGCAAGTAATTTGAAATCGTGAATTACATTATTAAGAGATTAATAATGATGGAAAATATTCGCAAACTTACTTTAAACCTATCACAATAGAAGTAGATGTGTGCTAGTCGATATACAGATTTGAAGTGCCACGGATACCTGGAGAGGACGAGCGTGAACGCTCTCATACATGTTATCATCAGGGACATGAATCTAATCTCTTTCGATGATGTCATCAGTGGCTGTGGTAACGACATTTGCGATGACGATGCCAGAGACGATGATGATGAGGACGATGTTGTTGGGCAGTGAGACGTGGTTACTGCATTATCAATGGAGTCCTTGTTTGTAGCATTTGTAGCAGACGTTTTGGCGATGCTTGAAGTCGCCACATACGATGATGAAGATAACGATAAAGAGCTAACATCATAATTAGACGATGATGTAGCAACATTAATACTGCCAGAGACATGAGTCTTAATGTCACGTTGGTCAGGGATAGCATCATTATAAAATGATTTGGCATCGCCATCACTATTCAACTGATCACGAGCTGGTATTATCGGCTGATCACTTGTTGAAGAGGATTTTGGGATCACACTGCAGTCTGATGGAAGATTGAGTGGTTTATCATAGGTTGATACCATCTTCTGGTCTTTGTTAGTTGAAAGACTGCAAACTGCAATGCTATCGGCAGAGTTTTGAATGTTGACGGTGTGAGTTGTAGAAAGATTACTACAAATATTTCCTTGGCTAAGAATTGATTCAATCAGAGAAAGAGACGTGGAACTGGCAACGCTGGTCAGAGCTTGCGATTGCATGCATTCGGATAATACTTTATCAACAATTATGACGTCATCGTCATTCTTGAGATCTTCATCGTAACTGTCGTTTCTGGTAATGATGAAGTTGTTTGATTCGTCAGTGGCAACAACTTTTAAGACTACATTACCACAAGCGCCACCCTCGTCGCCATCTTCCCTCCTTCCTTCACACTCCATTTCGTCGATACTTCCATTATTGTTACTGCCATCCTCATTTCTTTCCATCCCCAGAGCCATGTTATCATCATTTTTGTAATTAGCACCAAAAGCATCTACGGAATTCATCAAATCACTCAACTTTTCCAAGCGTTCCAAACCGGCCACCCAGCGGTTTTGCTGGTACGTTGAAGCAACTGTTGCTGCTGTTGCTGATACTGAAGTTATAGAAGGTGTTGTTGGTGTTTTGGTAGTTGACTTTGTCGCTACGCTCGTTGCTGATGTTGCTGTTGTTGTTGCGATCAATTCAACGTTGCCATCGATTTTGATGAAAGTATCATTCTCAAGCAAACAACTTGCAGAATTATTAATAATGTTGATATTGTTTCCAATGTTGATAGCATTATCATTGCCTCCATAGTCGTCTTCCTCCATTGCTTCTTCATCATCAACTTCCTTAGGTACAACGTTATCTTTGTTGGTTGTTGAATTAGTTCTTGAGGCGTTATAAGATAGTGGAGTAGGCAGTTTCACTGGGGAATGGTACTCTTCAACAGCCACGACAATGTCTTGCAGTGAGACAAGGTCCTCATCGTAGTCCAGACATTCAGACGACTTTCGACGCTGTTCAATTGTTGGGGGTGCCTGTGATGAAGCTTTTTTATTTTTCTCATTATCATTCTCATCTTTATTATCATTAAAAATATTAGATTGATAACTATCACTGGCGACGTCATCTTTAATAATATCAAGATTTTCATCAGCAGAGATGTTAACCATATTATCATCGAGACCACCACCACGAGCAATCCTGTCGCCACCATCGCCGCCACCACCGCTACGAACCGCTACAATTTTTTCCCCAATTGTATTCACAACTACATCACCTGCCGACTTCACACAATCGTCTTCTTTTCCTTCTGCTACTCCCACCTTACAGCCAGCACTTCCATCTCCACCATCGTCAGCAACGCTACTGCAAATAACTTCGACGTTAACAATCTTATCATCATTATCACCGTCATCATTCTTCTTAGCCAGAGTTTCAGTTTTGTTGCAGCCGGCAGAGCTAGCAACAGTCTCCCACTTTGATTTGTTGTCTACCCTCCTATCGAGCTGCTCGTGCAGCGTGACCAGAGGAGTGTCTTGCACCAGCGTCAAGTACTTTTCAAATACCTCAAACGGAATGTTCTGCAGTTGTCCTTGGTTGGTTATCAAAAATTTGGCCGTGCTCACGTGCATTCGGTAAAACATCTGCGGTGATGAGGACGATGCGGTGAGGTGATGTTTATGTGATAGTGTGATTATGTCACGAATATCATATGATAATGTCACGTAATGTGATTGTGTGATGATGTCACGTAATGTGATTGAACGACTAAATGTGGTGACGATGTATCTTAAATTATAAATTTTCAATTATTTTTTGAATGGTGATACAGATTAAGGTATAGATTAGCGTTGGACCGACTTCGAGTGATTCAACAGCCAAGTGTGGCGGGTTGTAGTAAGATATGTTCCGCTTTGGGTACTTCGCCTTCTCAACGTGTAGATGGTGGCTGGCCTGAGTTTTGTGATGATATCGTTATGGTGATGCCTTGTATGCATTCAGTTAGCATGTGTGTGTCATATACGTATATAGAGTTTTGCATGAATATAACAACGATGATGATGATGATGATGACGGTTATGTCGATAAAGGTGATAAAGATGATGATAATGATGAAAATAGTGATGACGACCGACGATGGCGGTGATGATGATGTTGGATTTTAATAATTGCTGCTGAAGGTGGTGATGAAACAAAAAGAAGGAAAAATTCTCCTGTCACTACTATATTTAAAGCAAAATCGGTTGTTCAATTTCTATTAATAAATAATAATAAACATTTAATTTTCATTTAATCAAAGTTAAAATTGATGTGAAAATTTGCCTTGAAAATAACGCGAATAAAATGTTGACATATCACTACACATTGACTAAATAACCTGGAGATAACAGTTCAGATAAGTTTCGGGTTGCTTGCACAACTTCTCAGCCACCTTGCCAATCATGTAGTGTTCAAGCCACTCCTCGCCTGAGCCAGCATCATGTTCATGTGCTTGCTGGAAACATTCGTAACATAACTGCAACATCCTTTCCTTTCGAGCCATCAGTTCTTCCATTGATTTGTCTTTGGGTGGCAGTGTTGAAGTTCTCGGTATTGTAATTGTTGATGTCAGTGAAGTCGCTGATGTCATTACAGCTGCTGATGTCACTGAGGCTGATGTTGTCAGTGGAGTTGTAGTTAATGTTGTAGTTGTTGTCTTTGTTGTTGAAAGTTGATCAACCATATTGTTGTTGTTGTTGTAGAAATTCTGTGAAAAAAAGTTAACGAGTATCATTAATAGAGATACCATCAGGCTGACTGTTACAACTTACATTGTTGTTGCTGTCGTTGATTGTGTGGTTGCCGTGGTTGTCGTTGTTGTAGTTGTGGTTTAGTTTCAATAAAATCTCATCATCTCTCTTCTATTTAATATTTTGAATAAATAAAAAATTAGGATTTTAAAAGGTACTTATTCAATTAGGACAACGATAACATGAAATATAAATTAATAAACCGTATCTCTCCTATCACACGAGACGATACTAATGCAATGATAAATAAAAAAAAATGTGAGCAGTAAGCAGATGAGTAGAGACCTGTTTAATGATGTTGGATAGATGTGTAAGGATGATGTAGACGCACGTTCCATATTCTATCCACAACTTGCTGTTCGAGTTATCTATTGAGAGCGCTCGCTTGAAGCAATTCAAAGAATTCCTCGACAATTTTCCAATGTTCAAATCCGGCTTCATGTCGTGCTGGGCAAACAAAAATTTAATTCATGATCATTATTTTCTCAAAATATACTTTTATCTAAAAAATTATTAACAATAAAAGGAACGTAAATAAAAAAAAACAGAAACACGATAAAAACGAAAAAGCAAGCAGAGAAAAACAATGAAAAAAACCAACCGCGGATAGCAGATCTTCGAGTGAACTGGAATGGATAAGAGCCAGTGCCGCCCATGAATCAAATCTTTTTGGGTTCATGCAGAGGTCCTTCATGTAATACGTCTGGGCCTTCCTATTTCAGTTAGTTACAGTGAGAATCAGGAAATTACGCTTACACATCCGTCGCTATGCTAAATGTTTAATTGTGTTCGTGTGTGTCTGGATATATAAACAGTCATCTATCAGTATGCATACGTTGAATTGTGTGTGTGTATGTGTGTGCGTGTGTGTGTGTGTGTGTGTGTGGGTGGGTGGGTGTGTGTATGTGCGTGTGTGGTGTGTGTGTGTACGTGCGTGCATTTCAAAAAAACTTGAGGCATAATGCCAACATCAATAAACTAACTCAGGGTCTCCATTCTTGAAGTGGTGGTCAGCCAGCAAATAGTAGATATCCATAACCACTGGACTGTTTAATCAATGCATTTATTTAAAAAAGACATTTTTATCACCGTTGTTTTTAAAAGTACGCTGCAGTTTCACACTTTGACATCTGCACGCGTCTATCCTAGCCTTGCAGATGGAATAAAAAGTAATTATTTAAAAGTGAATGCCGATACTAACTCATCTGAGGCAGTTTCTTTAGGAATGTGATCAGCATCCTCATCATCGTTGTCGTCATCCTCCTCACTGCCATTTATATACCTCCTCACATTATCGTAAGTAGTATCTAACATAAAAACAAAACATTTGTATGTCAATGTATGCTACATGTCAACCAAACAACCGACCGACCAACCGACCTACCTATGTTTGTTATGGGTGGAATGAGAGGGAGCATCTTCATCAGCAAACCCTCGAACTTGGTTTTATGATTGAATAATTTAATATTTTATAAATAAGTTGTAATTAAAAATAAATGTTTCAATTAAACAAATCACAATACAACAATTGTGAAGGACCAAAAATGTATTTCAAAAGAAATTGCTAGAGGCTCAACCAACATGTAAGATGTAGAAAGTTTGAAATGTTTGCCGAAAATTAAGGAAATAAAATAAAATGTCGTTTCAACATGGATACGACAGACCTCATTTGATATGGAGCTCGTTTTAATGCTATCATATTCTGGCAGTGTGGCTGGTTTATAGTAGGAAAACAACGAGTGGCAGTGACTCCATTCCAGAGATATCTAATGACGTCACGATGATATCATAATGATGCCGTGATGATGCCGTGACGATGTCGGATGTCA